ACTTCTGCTAAGAGTGGGGGAGGAGGCAAGGGTTGATCCCACCCTTAGAAATAAAGCCTCCAACAAGGACTTCTGGTAACTTTCTATAAACAACTCTGAAAAGTACAGAAAAGACGTCCCAAATATAAAGAATTTCTATTTATTTTTTAAAAAAGCTTAGGTGTCAAGTGGGCCTGGGGAAGGACTATCTGGTTGGACAAGAAAAGGCCAGATGCAGCTCCCAGCACACACTTGTGCATTCCTGCCTCAGCACGTGCTCACACCAGTTCACAGGCTAAAATGCCTGAGATTCTCCCTCTCTGCTAATTCATGTAATAAATCTTTACTGAATGCCTATCAGTGTCAGATACTCTCAACACAGAGTAAGTCACAGTTAAGGTATATGCAGTCATTGAGATCATCTGATACTCAACTAGATCTCCATTTGTAAAAAGGACAAGAGTCTCATCTTAACATCACATAGAAAAACAAGTTCTATATAGTTTTATAAGTATAGAAATATTAGAAAAAACATAGAAAACATGATCTGAGGTAGAAAACACCACTGGACACAGTGGCTCATGCCTACAATCACAGCACTTTGGGGGGCCAATGAGGGAGGATCACTTGAGGCCAGATTACTTGACACCAAACTGAAAGCAACTTAGCAAGACCTACAAAAAACAGAAAAATTAGCCAGGTGTAGTGGCACACACCTGTAGTCCCAGCTACTTAGGAGGCTGAGGAAGCAGATCGCATGAGCCCAGGAATTTGAGGTTGCAGTGAGCTAATGATGGTGCCACTGCACTCCACCAGGGGCAACAGCAAGACCCCGTCTCAAAGAAAAAAAGGGCTTTATTAAATGAGAGAAGAACGGGAAAGCCATAAAAAAAATCTGACAATTTTGACCTCAACAAGATTTAGGACTGTTTTTTTTTTTTGAGACAGAGTCTGTGTCACCCTAGGTAGAGTGCTATGGCATCATAGCTCACAGCAACCTCATACTCTTGGGTTAAGCAATTCTCTTGTCTCAGCCTCCCAAGTAGCTGGGACTACAAGGGCCCACCATGACACCCAGCGATTTTTTTTGGTTGCAGTGTCACTGTTTAGCAGACCCAGGCTGGACTCGAACCCACCAGTCTCTGTATATAGCCAGCACCCTAACCACTGAGTACAGGCACCACTCATACAATATTTTTAATAATTTTGTATATGAATCAAAGTTTTGACTGCAACTTGTATGTAAGGTCAAGTGTGAAATTTTCCACTTTTTTTTTGGAGACAGAGTCTCACTTTGTCACCTTTGTTAGAATGCCATGGCATCACAGCTCGCTGCAACCTCGAACTCTTGGGAGGTTCCTGTGGCTCAGTGGGTAGGGCATCAGCAGGAATCTCTTTAGCTGGTGCCCTACCCACTGAGAATCACTTTAGCCCATACTGAGGGTGGCAGGTTTGAACCCGGCCCTGACCAAACTGCAACAAAAAAATAGCTAGGTGTTTTGGCAGGGTCCTGTAGTCCCAGCTACTTGGGAGGCTGAAGCAAGAGAATCACCTAAGCCTAGGAGTTGGAGGTTGGTGTGTGCTGTGAAGCCATGGCACTCTACTGAGGGTGATAAACAAAAAGGGATTCTCTTATCTCAGCCTCCTGAATAGCTGGGACTACAGGCAACTGCCACAACACCCAGCTATTTTTAGAGACAAGGTCTTGCTCTGGCTCAGGCTGGTCTCAAACCTGTAAGCTCAGGCAATCCACCCGCCCTGGCTTCCCAAGTGCAGGGATTATAGGTGTGAGACACCTGGCCCAAATTTTACACTTTTGATGATATGTTGGTACTCAAAGTTTTCAGAGTTTGGAGCACTTTGGATTTCAGATTTTTGGATTATGAATGCTCAACCTAGGCTCAGCACCCATAGCACAGTGGTTAAGGCACTGGCCACATACACCAAGGCTGGTAGGTTCAAACCCAGCCTGGGCCTGCTAAACAATGACAACTGCAACAAAAAAACAACCTGGAGTTGTGGGTGTGTGCCTGTAGTCCCAGCTACTCAGGAGGCAGAGACAAGAGAATCACTTACGCCCAAGAGTTTGAGGTTGCTGTGAGCTGGGATGCCACAGTACTCTAGCGAGGGTGACAATAGTAAAACAATGTCTAAAAAAAAAAAGCTCAACCTGTATGTATATCACAGTTTTGTTTTGTTTTGATTTTTTTTTTTTT